CACACACACACACACACACACACACACACACACACACACAACACACACACACATTGACAACCTCAATTCGACAGGTCTCTCAGAATTGGTACATACATGAGCGCGCTCTTTAGTACATGCATGCACACACAGAAACACAGGCACACACACGCACACACAGAGACGCAGGCGCACGCACACACACACACACACACACACACACACACACACACACATTCTTTCTCACAACACCTCATGCGGTCGGGTAAACAAAGGGAAGGGGCAGAGGTTTTTGAGGACAAAGTAGGAAAGCAAGAGGCAATATCCTCACCCTCCATAGCTGCACGACTTCAGCAGGCACATTGCTGTGCGACTGGATTATTCCCAACTCTTCTTCGGAGATCGGTTTGACTTCCTCCTCTTTAACCCGCTTCCTTGCCCTCTCCCTGGGTTTCGGAACCAGCCCATCCTCCAGTCTCACAACACCTTTATCCACTTCTCCCACTGCCTTCACGTCCTCCTCGTCCTCCTTCCGTCGCTTCTTCACCCTTTCCCTGGGTTTCATTGGCTGGCCGTTCCCCTGTCCCCCACCTTTATCTCCTTTGTCAAGGCCATCTGCTCCATACTTACCCACCATTCCATCCCTGCGTTCGGTGCTGCCAGCACTGGCAGCAGCTAGGATCGCTTTCGACCACTCTTCGGGCTTCTGGACAACTTGGACGTCCACATCCTCCTCCGTGCCAGCGTGCTTTCCCTTTCTCTCGCCCCCGGTCCAGCAAATCAAACCCTTCTCTTGCATCATGCGCACACGCGGCGCATCGCCACCAACACCATCGACAGCAATATCCATCGCCGAATTCTTCTTGATTTCTGTGGCGTGGTCTCCTTCTTTTTCAAGACCAGCTCCATTTGCTGAAGATTCTCCATTCTGCCACCCGGCATCTTCTCCATCCTTGCTCTGCACCGTCCCTTCCTCGCCCTCTTCCCTGAGAACAGATGCTTCTTTTTCAGGCTTGTTTTTTCTCGGCCGACCCCTCTTTTTCCTCTTCTCTAACCCCGGCGACAAAGTGGAGCCGTCTCCTTCCCCTCCTTCTCTTTCTCTGCCATCTCCCCCTTCCTTTCGAGGTCTGCCTCTGCTGTCTTCCCCTTCTTTTCGAGGTCTTCCTCTGCCATCTCCCCCTGCCTTTCGAGGTCTTCCTCTGCCGTCTCCCCCTGCCTTTCGTGGTCTTCCTCTGCCGTCTTTCCCTTCCTTTCGAGGTCTTCCTCTGCCGTCTCTCACCTCTTCCTTTCGAGGTCTTCCTCTGCCGTCTCCCCCGTCCTTTCTAGGTCTTCCTCTGCCGTCCTTCCGAGGTATTTTTCTGACTATCCCTTCCTTTCGAGGTCTTCCTCTTCCCCTTTTTTTCTCTTTGCTTCCTTCTCCTTGCTCCTCCGCAACGACTCCCAACAATTCTTCGCCTAAATTTCCCCTCTCCTCCACCGGCGTGATCTCGCCAAACTCCAACAGGAAAGCCTCCTCGGCTAGATCCCGCTCATCCAACAACCCCGCCCCTCCCTCACTCCTTTCGTCAACAGTAAGACTCGGCTTTGCCACCTCCGTGGTGTCCTGCCCTACCTTCTTTCCAATCTCGTGGGCCACTAAATTTTGATATTCTGAGCATATCGCAGTTGCCGTTCGATCTTCGGCGCCCGTTGGGGTTGGACCACCTGCAGTCTTGGCCACCGACGGCCTCGATCTGCGGCAATAAATGGTCAATTTCTCCTCTGCACGCTCGACAGCCACTTCTACCTTCCCTTCCAAACTACCCCCCTCCGCCAATGCCAAACAACCTCCGCTAGACTCCCACCTTTGAACGGCTGTTTGGACGTCTTCCGCTGCTGCAGCCTTTTGAGCACGAGCATAACCACTCTCCCCATCATCGCAGCTTGGCACGTAAATGCCCGCTTGCCTTAACCCCCCTTTATGCTCCTCTTCCGCCCCTGTCAACGGTACCGAGAATGCACCCTCCGTCTCCAACTTCATGCCATTCTCGAGAAACCCATTTTTTTTGCCTTGCGGGGGGATAGTTATCACTGGCTGCTGCACGCCCCCACCGCACCTCCCCTCATCAGCTCCGCCGTAAAGTGGGGCCACAGTAATTGCACCCGCCGCTGCTGTTTCCACATGCGGTGGTGTTATTAGTGGTCCCCCTTCCTCCCCAAGGAGCAACTTCTTGTCTTCCACCAGCATGTCACTGAGCATATCTGCGTTTGGCCTCTCCGGAAAAGTCCCCTCTACCATCCCCATTCCCATCCCCATCCCCTCCAACTCCGCATCAAGCTTCAATCCCTCCGGCGCCGTGGACTCTCTGCCAGAACCTGCATCTGCAGAGCAAATCTCTACGCCAGTGAGTTCAGGATATCTCCTAGACATCTCATGACTATGATCCATTATCGCCACGTCGCCGCTGTCCAACACGTTGGGTGAACGTTTCTCGCAAGGTGCTTTCAGGCCTTCCCCCTCAGATGAGCGCCCAGCTTCTTCGACCGCCGTTCTCAATGCACTCAACTCGTCTTGCGCTTTCAGGCCTCCCCCTTCTGATGAGCGCCCAGCTTCTTCGACCACCGTTCTCAAGGCACTCAACTCGTCTTGGGCTTCGTGACGGACGGGTGACGGACACTTCACCCCCCCTCCGTCTAAGGCATTGATTGAGCATTCGCGAGCTCTGACTATAGTCTCTTCCTTCGTGCCGCCTTCGTAAGACGACAACCTGCATTCTCCTCTTCCCTCCGTCTTTGACAGAACCTTACACCCATCAGGCTGCTCACCGCCATCTCCAACCCCACGAACAACGAGATCTGGGTCATCGTCAACAAGATCGCCATCGCCACACATCTGACGTCCTTCCCCTGCTCCTGTTCCACCGTCCGCTGCAGCGGCGCTTCCTGCGCCGGCTGGCGCCAAATACATGCCTCGTCCTTGCCGCTTTTCCCTCGGATACCGTTCATCCTCCTGCGATCCCATCACCCCTTCCCCTTCTTGCTCTCGGCAAGCGCGCGGCTCTTCTCCCGCCAGCGTCGCGCCCGTGCCATGTGCATGTGCAGTACTCACCGGTTCACAAATGGCAGTCTCCCTTTGCAGGCCTGTTGCCTCGGAAAATGAAGGCAACTCCCTTGCTGTCTCATCGCGATTACCGCTGGCATGCGCTCCACATGGCGACCATCTGCTGCCAAACAAAGACAGCGCTGCCGTTCGGTCTGCATCCCCCGCTGTAGCTGCAGGCCCCGCCCCACCACTCCCCGTGGAACCCGCATCGCTGTACGGTGGCGGAGAGCGGGCGGACGAAAACGATGATTGCAGCAACGTATCCATGGACGCTGATGCAGGTACTGCTGACTGGGGCTTAGGACCGAAGCCCGGCGGGAAAGGAAGAGATGATGGAGGAGTGAAAACGTGACAGGCCCACCCCTTTCCTAGGAGGGAAGGCATGCCATCACCTGACGAAGACGCTCCAGACACGTACGCATGCGGAGGAAGGATCCCGCTCCCTTTGGCGTTAGTGAGGTTAGGTGAGTCGCGACCATAACCACCAAACGATCTATCCCCCCTTCTGTATGGGCCGCCGCCGCCTCCATGCGGCGCATCACCTTCCATCCTGATCACCCTGCCATCTTTGCCTGGGTGCGGGCCGTGGGAGCCCCTCCTTGGAAACGAGTGTCGATCCCAATTAGTTTTTTGGCGAAATTCTCCTGGTTGTTGGTCGTAGTGGCCCCCTCCTCCGCCGCCACCCATTCCTGCCCGCCATCCTCCTCCTCCTCCTCCCCCCCCCCCCCCCCCTCCCCGTCTCTCTCCTCCCCCCCCTCCCTTCGTTTTCTTCTCGCCTCTTCCTCCTCCTTTCTTCTCCTCCTCCCCATCACCTCGCTCTCTTCCTCCTTCTCTTCCCCCTTCTCTCGATTTGCGCTGTCCATTCCATTGCGACGAGCCGTACGGATGCATGGACGAAGAGTTTGGCCGGCTGCGTCTTCCGTCCTTCCCGCCCTGATGAGACTGCATTGCCCGGGAAGAGAAGCTGGCATACCGCCCGCCGGACGTGCTCCCCTCCCCCTTATCCCCCCCCCAATCCGGGGTGGTACCCCATCCGGTCCCTGACGTGCTCCCGACCTTTCCGACCGGGCCTCCCCCCTCCTTGGCCGAAGCGCAATCGCCATCTACATAACGCTGGGGTAAACGGTTGAGAGGGGGGGGATCAAGAGCCCGCTCCCTTCGTCCCGCCCTTCCGTCTCCCCCTCCTACTCTTTCGACTCCCCCTGAAGGGGTCGATGTTCCTCCGTCGGGACGACGGAGTAAAGGTGGCGGCTGCAGTGGGCGCGAGTGGTGATTCGCCGAGAGTGGACGATCCGGCGCCGAAGCGGAAGAAGAAGCGGGAAAGATAGAGGAACAGGGAAGGGGGTGAGGAGCAGGCGGCCGAAACAGCGGAATAGCCAAACCGCGCACACTGCTGTCCTTTGACGCCGGTCGGGATGCATCCATTGGAGAAAACGGCACTTCAAGTGGTGTTGAGACCGCAGGGCATGCGGGGGAGGGGAGGAGGCCCGAAGGGCACTGCTCCTGAGCATTGGAAGAGCCCGCAGCCACAATGGGAGTAGTGGCGGCGGTGGTGGCGCCGGTTGCGGCAGGCGGGAGTGCCAGCGATCCTGCACAAGGACGAGCAAACGGGTTCGCCAGCGCAACGGTATGCTGAAGCTGCATTGCGACCACCACCTGCTGTTGCTGGAGAGCTGTGGCGACTTGGGCATTCCCCGCCGCCACAGGCTGCATTACAGAACTCTGGCCAATTATCCCGCCTTGATGAGCCAGCTGATGGCCAACGGCGGCGGGAAAAGACTGACCGGGGGTGGGAATTAGGCCTGGGTTCAAAAACACAATCGACTGTTGTGTTTGCTGCTGTTGATCGGGAGTGAGATAAGACAGAGCCGCCGTTTGAAGCGGCTGTAGTGGTTGCTGCTGCTGATTCATAACCGGTTGCTGTAGCTGCTGTAGTGGCAGTGTCGGCACAGATTGTTCTTGCAGTAGCAGCGGCTGGAGTTGTGGGTGTGCTTGTGCTTGTGCTTGTGCTTGTGCTTGTTGATGATGAGGTGCTCCTTGTTCTGGCTGCTGCACCCAATACAAAGTATGAGGATACTCGTAACCAGCCTGCGCCTGCTGCTGCTGCTGTAGCAGCAGTAGCTGCTGTTGCTGCTGTTGCTGCTGTTGCTGCTGTTGCTGCTGTTGCTGCTGTTGCTGATGAGGCGGAGGTTGTTGCTGGGAATGCAGGACGGGAGCATGCTGATTGTTGTAAACCGAGGCCCAGGAAGGTATCAAAAACTGCTCCTGATGTTGCTGCTGATGTGTCACGAGGCTTGGCATGGGCGATGGCCACAAGTACGCCGGTGTTTGTTGCTGAGCACCCGCCGTTTGCGCCGGCGTCACTGCCAGCTGCTGCCCAGAAAATTGCTGCTCTACATTGAGCTGATGCTGCGGCTGTGACTGCTGCACTCCTTGGTACACAAGAGAAGCCCCGGGGCTAGTCTCTTGCTGCCCGTGTTGTTGTGCATATGGCTGCGCGTGCGCCAGCTGAAACGAGTCTTGAGACGGATGATGGCCACGTTGATGCAGATGCGGTTCCTGTTGGCATAAGAGCTGTTGGGGCTGTTGTTCCTGCTGCTGCTGTTGCTGAACCTGTGGGTGCTGCTGTTGCTGCGCCTGTGGGTGCAAAGCCTGCTGTTGCTGTCGCTGAACCTGTGGGTGCAAAACCTGCTGCTGCAGCGCGTGGCCACTACCAGCTTGCTGCTTTTGTCGCTGATCCCGCTGCAGCTGCCGTTGGTTTTGCATGTGTCCCGACCCGGATGTTAGTTGCTGCCCCTGACCGAGCTGATAGTTCTGTTGTACAAGCTGCTGGTGCTGATGATGACCATCGAAGTGATACATCTGAGCCGAAAAAGAAGAAAAACAAGCCAGGTTTTGTCACAACGAGGGAGTTGCACAGCTTGATACTTGTGGAGCAATTCCGGGGCTTTCACTGTCAGTAACAGAACGACGTGAAGGGCCAAAAGAGGCTTACCGTCTCTCCATACACACGGCGCAACACCACTGGAAGCATTCCAACCACCAGACAAGCCCGTGTTTGTCAGCTCTTTGACACTGATGACATGTTGTCGGCATCTTCCTTGCACCCTGCGCAAAATCAAGAGTTACCCCAGCCCCACCAGTAACAGAAAGACGTGAAGGGTTAAAAGAGGCTTACCATCTCTCCCTACACACGGCGCAACACCACTGGAAGCATTCCAACCACCAGACAAGCCCGTGTTTGTCAGCTCTCTGACACGGATGACATGTTGTCGGCATCTTCCTTGCACCCTGCGCAAAATCAAGAGTTACCCCAGCCCCACCATTCCAAGAAGTCAATCTCCATTACTATATATAGACAGAAGGGTACCTGTTGCGGTTTCACCCGCAAAAAAACAGAAAAGAGAAAAGCACAAAAGAAAGAAAGAAAAAGCATAATGAACTGTCCTATCAATTGTGCTGCTTTCATAATAAGAAAAAAAACTGATATCAGCCAGAGAAATCCGCTTGCAAGAAAAAAATAGGAGGGAATACCCCCAACCGTTTTCTTTGTCTCGTACCTCAGGTGTTTTGTGTGGGAAGCCGGTACCTTCTCAGGGCGTACTCACACTAGCAGTATCTCAAATGTATCTGACCGCTTTCACGGCCATACCGCAATTCGGTCCAAAAATGCGTAAAAAAGTCCTAGTGTGAGTGTGCCCCTCAGAATCGTTTTTTTGTTCCGTGCTGAGTGAAATCAACTACAAACTCTCAATCTGAGACAAAAACCCAGTTCCTTTCTCCCATTCGTCTGTCCCACTCTGTGTTCGCTCGCTGTCTTTTCTAAATACGGTTGTCATCAACTGATCTTGTGCGTACACCATGTGGTGTTTACTTGTTGAGCTTTGGCTCTGTTTGTATGCAAGTGCATGCATGTGTGTGACTCTTAGTTTGGCGGGCCCCAGATGGTATGATTGACGATTGGCCCCGGGGCTTCTCTTGTGTACCAAGGAGTGCAGCAGTCACAGCCTTCAATTGTAAGAGTGCCAGTAATGATAATGCTGGGCATGCAGCTGGGAACATTTCCTGGAAGGCCAAAGCCGAAGACAAAACCCCGAGCAGCACCTGTCAGAACCACATAATGCACAGAGGGGCACTCTCTCTCTCTCTCTCTCTCTCTCTCTCTCTCTCTCTCTCTCTCTCTCTCTCTCTCTCTCTCTCTCTCTCTCTCTCTCTCTCTCTC